TGCAATCCATTAAAGGGGGTTATTATTTTGAAGTTCATGGACCGTTCATTTTCCTCCTGACTCTCATCAACTACTTAAGGCAATGTGTTGTTTTAAAGAAATGTATGACTTATATATTTATAGTTTTTGCTGTTGATGTATTGTATCGCATCTCTTAGTTTGGAAATAAGGTTATATCACTCACGATGTCTTATTTCTCTTTGACTGTTTTCATCCATATCTTCCAGCATTTCCTTAAATGTATTAGAATCCATATAGCAGCATCTAGTTTGTCAGATTTGTCAGCTGCATAACACAATGGACTTTGCCTCTAAGTGAGTATCAGTTTTGAATTCGGATAGTTGAGAATCCAGCTCTAGCCTGTGGTAGCATCGTCCCCTAGTGACTGTAAATAGGATCTCTCACGTAAGTATTTAGTGCCCTACTACATGTTTGTATCTGATTTTCTTCAGAGATCAGTTTGCTGCAACCTGACTGCATACAAACTGTTGTTTTAATCTTTTAACCTTCCTCCGTTTGAGGTAAGTGGCATTCTGGAAAACTTGTCACAGTTATATCCTACACCGTCTCTTCCAAGTTTTATCCTGTTGTCTGTTTCTGTAGTTTCCTTTAATCTTCCCTAATTCAGTTTTTTTTCTGATTGTTGATTGATTCTTTTTTAGTTGATAATCTTTTATATAATTCCTTTTTAAAGTGCATAAAACTTTCGGTGTATTTCCTACACTGCATAATCAGTCTTTAATGAAACTGTTGGTACCATTAACCAACAACAGAAACAGTTTCTTGGAACATACAGAATTGGGTGACTTTTGTATTGGCACTATGAAGTTAAGACGCGAAGGTGTTACATGCTGGAATGACCGCTAAATTCTCGAATAACAAAGTCCTTTGGTGGTGTTCGAATCTTCCTTCCACTCTCCGCGATTCAAATTATCACCTCATCCGCCCTGATACCCATTAACTACCTGGTTGAAACAGAGGTCACATTACGAACAAAGGTCTTATCTGGACTTACGTTTCATGTGCGCTGCTTGATAGCCTTGTCAGTAAAGCAAGTAAAGCCCTTGAGTTCTGTAATTTCACCGAAACCAAAGCCTTTAACACCCCTGATTTTGAATATTAATGCAATGTACACTGGATTTGTAGCATTGGGCACCACATCCTGTGACTATTTCTGTATCAATATAATAAAGCAGATATCCTGATACCTGTATCAAGACATCTGCGATGGCGTCATCAATTGCAAAATGAAAACGCCTTAAAAAGCTCAAACCCCCTTAATCTTACAACTGACCCTGTTCAAGGATTTGTTAAATGCAGCACCTGTAGACGTGCATATATGTACACGAGTCCAAAGGGATCAAAGTATAGAAAGTGTGTGAATAGCTTTGTACAACTAAAGTAAAAGTCACAGCAGGAGATTCTCTAGCACTTTTATGACAAAATCCTTTTTAGATAATTGGTGACAAAGTGCGTTAGTGGAATACATTATTGTACACTAATTCAGTCCTTTCTTTCTACCAAACTGAAGTACAGAAGAAAAAGCGCACACCTGGTGTTTTACGCGAACTTTTCATTTGAACAGAAAATCTCCCCAAACAACTACCAAATATTTTGAAGCATTGATTTCCGCAGTAATTCTAGGAAGTCACAAATATTTATGTGTTGCCCCCAAAACCCCATTTTCTTTTTAGTACCTATGTTGGAGTAAAACCCGGATCTTCTGGCTTGACGAGCAAGGCTTCAACCACTAGGGCACCCTTTATTAAGTCCTAGATGACTGTAAGACTATCCCAATCATCACACATAATCATTCCGGATATACACATTATCAAGTCAAACGTTTTCCATTTAGAACTTTCTAATACTTGCCATGGGAAGCCCGTAGTTCAATTGGAGCTGATTAGCAATAGCAAGTCCATCAAGCTGACTTCCGTGTCTATCACTCAAAACACCAGTCAGTGTTAAATACCCTGTTGTTCTCATTTTGTCCAATGAGTGCTTATTACTTATCAGTACAGATAATTTTTTCGCCTTGATGTACTCATAACTTCCATTTTGACCATTGCTATTATCAATTAACTACTGGTTGCCTTTTGTCAAGCACCCTGTCGTTGTTATAAATGTTTGATTTGTTGTTTTGCTTCCTCGTTTCTACCATAAATGAAATCCAACCAATATGGCGCTTGCTCGCAAATATTCACTTTTAACTTCCCGGATTAACTTCATATAACTGAACACAACCTCAATATGAGTACCGTCACGTCTTCTTGGCCTTAAAGTCCGGAAAATAAACTGAATGAGAAACTATCATCAATTATTGTCGTCGAACAACACAGTAACAAAAATATTTCTTTGTTTCCTAAAAAGTTTCACCAATTTGATTGTAGAAGCGTTATTGATGCACAAAATGATTTTTTGTATAGTGTGATGCATCTGGCCCAGAAGCATGTACCAAAATATACATGATTTTTCTTGACTTGTATTGTGTACAACCAACATGTAAAATAACGCATTACCCAACAAAAGAGAGACGAAAACATCCCACCCCACTAAACAAGATATTGTTTTGCAAAGTCATCCATGTCATGATCGTTTGTCTCTTCAACCGGCGTGCTGCATAGAACCAACACGAAGACAAAGTGAACCAGTATCGATTAAAGGTGAGTACATTAACCCTTTACACTTGTTGATAATGTTGGGGAGTGGTCATATTAAAACATTTCTAGTTATAGTTTTTGTATAAATTGCTCTCAAGTCGTTTTCCATCATTCAGGGGCCCCTAATGCATTTTGATTTGAAATGAAGCTTTTACATAAGACGATTCCGGATACTGGCATTAACGTTCCATTACGGATGCCTGCATTAGAGAGTCGGAGTCAGTGTGAAGAGACAACACACACCAAGAAGAGTTTATTCTGCACCTACATGGACCGTTATTAGGGAAACACATTTACTGAATAATGGTTTGATTCAGAGGGGAAATCACTTCATACATTGTGCAGGAACAATGTCTTTTTGTAGTGTACTGTTAGTGTGGAATTACTAAAACAAGGGGGCAACGGCTGACAGATTTCATTTTGCTCTGGGATATTATTTATTCTCGTACACTTCATCAACTGTAATCCGGTAAACGTTGTAGCAGTGCAACTGGGACAAATTGGAAATAGAAGACAGAACAAGAAGAAGTAATTGAAGCTCTGTTGTCACCAACTCGCTGAGCCCATTCTTGATGTGGCAGTGGTGGACTATTGTTAGCAGGAAGAGGTGTAACCTCATTCTTAATCGCACCCAGCTTTTGTGATAACTCCGACGTCAATATCTGGAAGCAAGGTCTTTTTACATATCAAAATAAAATGTTAGAAGAGAAAAAGAACCATACTGGTGAGATACCAACCCAAAAGTCAAAGTCGAGCAGTCCATCGTTACGCAGTTTCACTCTTTAAACATTTGCGTGTCATTTCCTGTCTCTCGGGGGAATCTATCGTAGTGCAAACCCTGGAGAGAAAATGACACGGTTGGACAACTTAAGCTGTTAGTGTATGTCATATGTTTTGAAATAATATATTGACAAACGTTGTTGTTCTTCATCATTGCGACGTACAACTATGCAATGGACTCCGAAACCAGTAACCCGTCTTATGTCGTTTCTGTTCAGTTTTGCTCTCTATTATGTTTGTAATACTTATCATTCGTCTACAGCATCTTTCTCTCTGAATCGTTCCAAATGTTGTATGTCCCGTTGTTGCAAGTATGAAGAACGGTACGGATTCAGCGATGGATTCAAGAAGTGGGTAGAAGAAGATGAGAGTAAATCGCCATTGTTGTTCCCTCTTCTCGATTCGCATTATCTTCACCCAATTCAAAAGTACTTCTTGGCGAGGGTCTATTCTGATGTAATGAACGATACCTTCCCTTCTAAACACATTCACTGAAAACCTTTGGAAATCAGTGGGATTAAGTAGCATCAAGTTTTCAGGGTACACATTCAATGCGATGTACTGGCAAACCAATTTTTTTATTGTAAACTTTCTTTCGCTGCTTTTGTGGCAAGAACTGAACCGTGTTCAAAACACACCAAGGAGCTTGCGGAAAGATCACTGTGATAACACTGAATCTAGGTTCAACGCTTTGGTCATTCATTCTTTGACCATATCGCACTGAAGTGCTCAAGGATACCAGCAACTATGTACAACATTCTGTTTTCACTCTCTAATTCCTGACTTTGCTTCTGTGACATGTGCCATCATATATTCCATTCTATCGAAGCCAGTCAGTCACGAAGAAGTGATGGTTTACAGTGTAGTGTGCATGGGCCCCTTAGGTGTGTTGGCTCCAGACTGCTCATTGATGCGCTGACCTGTCAGTCTGAAGGTAAGGGTTTTATTCTTGTGTGTCTTTAAGATATAGATAATAATAATTACTCATTGCATAGGTTGTTAATGTGGATGCGGTCCCAGTGGCGACCTCGGGCGCTTCGACGCACTCGACTTAGCAAACTATTCGACCTGTCTCTGAGCTGGGGGTATCTCGACCTCACAACGACCTCAAAACGACCTCAAAACGACCTCGAATGGACCTTTACGACCTTAGTTCGATTTAGTTCGACGTCAGTCGACCTATCTCGACTCAAGTCGGCCAAGTTGAGAAGACCTATACTCGACCAGATAGGACGAAATTAATTCAAAATTAGGTCGATATATAGGTCTAAGTCGACTGGCCCGACCTCTACGCGACCTGTGTTCAGCCGGAGCGACTGGTTCTCGACGGAAATTCCATTTTCCTGCCGAGTAGACCCTTGGTTTCCAAATTGTATAAATTACAGGGTACATTATCACCAGGTAACCATTCAGTTAGAGGACTGCAAAGTAGTAACATCACCATCAGGAACCTTGACGTAAACCTGGTGAGCTGGTGACGTAAATCTGAGAAGCAAAGACTGCTTACAATTTGGGTGCAGATAGCCTGGCACCTGCTTGAACTGGTGGATGACCTGGAGAATGCCAACCCTCCTCCAAAGCCACATCAATCGCATCCTTGAGTATCGGTCAGATGTGTGGGATCAGAGCAGATGGAATACTGTAACCCGTGCTTTCAAGGAAATGTGGCAGTTTCCATATTGCACCGGTGCGTTTGATGGCAAGCACATACACATCAAGAACCTCCAAAAGTCCCTATACTACTACAAGAACTTGCTGGCACTCGCGGATGCCGACTACAGGTTCCCGTGGGTCAACGTCGGGGCCAAGGATCAGCATCAGACGCTGATGGTCTTCAACCATTCACGAGGATCGGATGGAGGGCGATGACCTTGTATTCCCGGTATGGTGTGCCATACTTCATCATCGGCGACGATGCCTTTTCCTCCGCCCTTGGATGATAAAAGTCCTTTTCCATGCATAAGATGGACCCTGATCAGCAGAACTTCAACTGCAGGTAATTATTCTTTTCCATAAATACCTAAATCAAATTATAACTTACTATGTTTGGGTGTATGCAATATTATATCAAAGGTTTTGAATTTTGAATGCATTTGACTTAAAAATGTTTAATTTGTGACTTTTGCAGACTGTCTCGGGCCAGACGAGTGGTGGAGAATACTTTCGGGATTCTGGCTATGAGGTTCCAGATCCTCCTCAGCTCCCTAAATAGCACTGCAGACAGAGCTGAACAGATAACCCTGGCTTGCATCACTTTACACAACATGCTGAGAACGAGGAACCGGACCAGTCAGATGAACCTCATAGACCAGGGGAATGAGGACTGTTCACTCACCCCAGGCGAGTGGCGCTCCTGCACACAGCTGCTTGATGGGGATAACCGGGGTGCGAGGAACGTTACCCCACTAGATGGCGCCAACCAAAGAAACTATTTGAAGGACTATTTCACGGGCCCAGGAGCTGTTCATTGGCAAGAGAAGATGATATCCAAATGACTTTAAAGTGTACTCTATTATTTAGGACTACTTCATTTACAAAGGAACTCTTGTTTGTTTTGTTTTTTACACTATTTACAATTGGTAAAAATCGCAGAAAAAACACAATGAAAACTAACTATATACATGATGAACAAAACAAACTTTATTACAATCGCACAAGATGTATTTACATTTACACTTAGCAATGGATGGAAAATACAAAAAAATATCAGATGAAAAAAGCTTGTAAGTCTTTTATTGAAAACTGATTTAAGTAATCTGAAGGTAACATTTCACATCATTATAAGGTGCTCATGACAATATATGAGTATCAAGTTCTACTTCTCAGATTCACTGTCCTTGCCTGAGAGTCCTGAACATGTGACTGATCCTCTGCGGTGTATGTAGGGTCCAAGAGACCGCTTGGCAGGTACAGAGATGTACCTGCTGCAGCACTGGAGTCAAAGCTGTGGAAGATACCAGCCTGTTCCGCTGCTTTGCGGCGTGTTGGAGAGGGTGGTGTGCTCAGGGTGGATCTCTGGGTGGCAGCAGGTTGGTGTGGAGATGATGTGCTACCACTGGCTGCCGTTTCGCTTTTATGAAGCAATTGGGAAGATGGCGACAATTTATGCGGTCGGCGCGGACTCGATTAGGTCGAGTTGAGGTCGAGATAGGTTGACTTCAGGTCGAGTCGGTCGACTCTAGGTTGAGTCCAAGTCCAGTCCAGTTCGAGCTGGTCGACTCAAGGTGGAGTCGAGGCCGAGTACAGATCGACTCTAAGACGAACACAGATCGGCATGTCAGGCCAGCTCGACCTTCAATTCAACCAACTCGACCTAATGTCGACCTAAACTCGACCTTTTCTCAACCTACCTCGACTTATTCTCGACCTGGTCTGGACCCCATCTCGGACCGAAGGTCGAGAAGGAAGTCGGGAAATATTTTTGACATGTCAAAACTTTTTCCAAAATTTGGTAGACCTGATTCGACCTGACTCGACCTAACTCGTTCTGAAACTCGACCAACTCGACCCCCAACTCGACCTTCAGGCCGAAAAGGTCGAGTAGCGTAAGGTCGGCTCTGGGACCGCACAACGAGCGGCAAAACATAAGGGCTATGGTTCTTAGATGCTTACCGTGTTTCTGAAAACCACAATTATTGCAAATGGTTATTATACATTGTGATACTGATTAATGAACCAACAATCAGATGGTCTGGTGGATACAGCTACAGTACAACAAGAAATTATTGACAATTTAAGATTGTAATTTTTAAAACAATTTTCACTCATTACTCACGTATTAAATATACTGAATCAAAAAAGAAACTTCACAAAATGTAATTTGAAAAATAATGAATAATTTTTCTCTGATGATACATCTATGTATCCGAAATGGGATTCCTATCTTTCGACTCTAGAAAAACGTTAGCAAAACCCATTCAAACCCATCAATTCGTCGTGCAAATGATGTTAGTGCCAAATCAGGTTTTGCACGTGCAGTCGATCACATGATCTTCGCATCGAAGTTTTCTTCATATGCACGTGTTTGCATTGGACTCAAGAATTGAAAAAACACTTTTAAACCACAGTTCTAACGGTACTTGAAATGCCACGAGTGTCAAATGTGCAACGTGAATGTGCCGATGGACCCAGAGAGACTGGAATCGAATCGTCTTTAGCGATGAATCCAGTTTTACCCTCAGATTCGCGGACGGCAGGCATAGAGTCTGGAGACGACGTTGTGAACGGTATGCCCAATGTTGTGTACAGGAAGTCGACAGATTCGGGGGCGGAAGTTGCATGGTGTGGGGTGCTTTCTGTGGGAACAACCGTTCCCGACTTCTGGTCATCCGTGGAAACCTCACAGCTGCTGCTTTCCGCGACAAGGTGCTCACCCCTCAACTCGTTCCTTTCATGGCCCAGGTCTACAGTTCCAGCATGATAATGCTCGGCCGCATACCGCGATGTCGACACGAAATTTCCTTCAAAACGCTGGAATCAACGTCATGGACTGACCATCGAGGTCCCCTGACCTTAATCCAATAGAGCACGTTTGGGATGCACTTGGGAGAAGGCTTCGTGGTCTTAGGAACCAGCCTCAGTGTTTGCAGGAACTTGGCGCTGCCTTGCAAGAGCAATGGCGCAGAATCCCCAACCACGTGTTCACAAGCATCAGGCAGTCGATGAGGAGACAGTGTTTGGCAGTGGTGAATGCGCGGGGCGGCCATACACGATATTGAGCTGAGAAACTTCGCATTTTTATTCTTGTGACTTGACATTCTGTATACCCATGTTTTGGAACGGCGGTGTAGCCTAATGGAACTGATTATGGCACTGTCAGTGTATCGAGTACATCACACAGATCTCAGCAATGAAATAATAACAATTTAACCATCTTACCATCTCTTGTTCTTTTATAGTGCCCTGAAGAAAGAATGTGAAGTTTCTTTTTTGACTCAGTATATGAATATTAGCAGAACATAACTCCAGATTCAAAGACAGGTGAACAGTTAGTATTTTGTCAAGTCACCATGGGCAGGATTGCAGACTTCAATGGGACGGGGCATACTACTGATCAAAGAAGTTAGAAAGTCGTGGTCCATGCTGTCCCAGTATCGGATCACCTCTTCTTTCATTTCAGCAATATTTGTCAGAACATAAGTCCCCAAACATTTTCTATTGGATTTAGGTCACGGCTATAGCTTGGCCAATCTAATAATGTCATATTTTGGATCCGAAACCAGGCCTGTGAATGCTTTGAGCGATGTTTTGGGTCGTTGTCCTGCTGGAAAATCAAAAAATTGCCATAAAACACGTGAAGTAAATGTCCCTCGAAAATATCCGTGTACCGTTAACTGTTCATATTCCCTTCAAATACACAGAGGGGGCGTTGCCCCTAACACAGATATGCCACCCCACACGTTAAATTTCGGACTGTACTTTGGGCGCTGATACAAAGGTTTTTCAGTTTGTTTGGTCCAGAATTTCAGTGTATTATGATAACAGCCACACAGAACTTTCATCTGAGAAAATCACATTGTCCCAGTTAAATTTCTATGCCGTAAGCGCCATTTCAACCTTCGCTCCTTTTGTTCAGGTTTCATGATCGGTGATGGAATTCCTCGACTTTTCTGCCAACCCATTGCATGCAGCTCAGTTCTAATTGTCTCCTTACAGACAGCCACAGTTCCTCTATCAATCATATCCAGCCTTAAGTTTTCTAAACTCCTTCGTTTGTTTTTAGAAACAAGACAACCAAGCCGCCTCCTGTCACAGACAGTCAATTTTCTGGGCCTACCTGCGCCTCCCTGGTGCTCAATGCCATATCCATTTGCAATATTTTTCAAAACACGATAAACAGTGGACAAAGGGATGCCTGTTCTACTTTAGCTGATCTGATGTCCTTGTTATAATACTCTTCAATCAACTTCCTTCTCTAAATCATCCATACTGTGGACCACTGAATATGTCGTCGGCTAGCAAGTAAACAAAGGGGGATAACTCTTCACAAACTAATGAAAAAGGATTAACGTAGTTGTCTCTCTTGAATGAAACCAAGCACTTGATCGCTGGTCAAGGTTGTTTATACTAGAAATCCAATTAAACATATTCCTAAAATTCGCAATAATTTCTTGTCATACTATGTAACCTATTTGAAAGTTGTTAGACATGCAGTATACCATTACTGTTCTCTTTGCAGGCTCATGGGACTCTTCAGTATGTTTGGGGGCTTGATAAAGAACGTTTCTCTGGGAAAGGCCTACAGAAGGTATCTGGGAAACTATTCTTTACACTTGCTGGTTTACCGAGTGTCATGACATGTTTACCTGATTCTCTGTAATATATTGTAAGGTTTCAATTCGCCTTTTAAATGTAATGACGTGACACTGAGTGATAAAACAAATTTCTTTCATCTTAATCTGCTGCATTTTCTTATTTATGTTGGTACCAGTTATTTTGCTAAATTGAAATAAATTATATAAAGAAATTGACATCTATGAATTCTTGCCTTCATGATTATATGCATGTGTCCGGAAGCTTTCAGTCTTGGTTATCATGCCCAAATATCTATAGATGTTAGACTATCGTGTTATCTGTAAAAGGGCAACGTGATTGTAGAAAATATTTGAAAAGCATTTGGTAGTTATCCGTGTTGCCTGTAAGTTGATGACATAAGCATTATCGTATGATCCAAGCCTCAGTGTGGATTCTAGGACACCAGTTGTCGTCAAAAACAGACGCATAATTAGATCCTTCCTTATTTGAAGTTACTTCCAGGACATTTTAAAACTGATTCTGGGACAGTGTATCAATGAAGATCAGGGGCTTACATTGTGTGTCTCTATTAACTCCCTCACCCTTACATTGTGTAAAAGAGATTGTTGTTAAAT